AATATAAAAGTGCTGGACGGCGTCTCATTCCCCATACTTCGCCAGTTGATAGCACTTCCCACCTTTCGAGGGAAACTTTAGTATTCATATTGTATTCTTTAATTCAATAAAAAAGCATCATTTAGATTACCCTACATGAAGTAAATTTTAGATGAAATCTTAAAATCTTGCAGCAATACACTTTGTCAAAAGCACGCCATACAAAATGATGTTTGCGATAATGCACAATAATTGTTTTCGTGTCCAGAATTTTATAACTTTTTTCAGCCCCGTATATTTTGGTTTAGTTCAGGCTGCACTCTCAACAATATTTACCACTTTAGATACTATTTTGTAAAATAGCTCTCCCAGCATACAAATAGAAATTTTTTACAGAGTTTTAAGCGAAATATAAAGGGCAGCATTTACAAAATCTAAGCTATAAAATGATATATGACAAAACTGTTTACTGTTTCTTACAATCTTTTCCTCGTAAAATTTCTCAAAAGAATAAAAAAATGTGTATCAATAAAAATATAACACACATCATAATGATCATAAACTTAAAATTTGTATTGTCGTTTTATTAAATATTACTGCGTCAAGATTTTCTTTAATGTTTGTCGACATATTCATTTCACTGCACACATATTCAAAGCTTGCTTTTCATCTCCAACAAAATTGTAAAACGAAAGTTTTTCTTTTATTTTACGTATAATTTTACACATTAATGAATGCCAGTTCCAATGTTGAAAAGTGCACACGCGCGATAACGTTAAAGTGTCGTGTCCAAAAGGTGCAGTGATGACATCAAATAATATCTATATGCCGTATGTTTTTAAAGATAAACTTTAAGTGGAATTCAAAAAGGCATTATTTCAAAGTGGGATATTAATTATCATTGCTTGGTTGCATATAGGAGGCATACAGCACGAAAAAATAAAGGAAGTGTCGAAAAAAGCTGTAAGTTTTTGGATTGCTGTTGCAGTAGATCAGGTAGACTTACGTTCGACATGAAAGTAACTTGACATGTTGTTTAAACTTCGTATAACACATGATTAAAGAGGAGCTATCAGCTATCAGACTGTTTTATTTTTTTTTTTTACTCATAAAAGATCAGTTGATTTTTTGTGCTTTAGCAAATTTTTTGTAGTTGTATCTAAAAAGTGTTTTAACAAATGAATAAAAGATAAAAAAGATAAAACTTGGAAACAGAACGATATTGACCATCTTTTTCAATAACTGTCCTTGTCCACGAGAAAACTGTATTGAATGAGTCAATACATTTGGACAGGGGCTAGGTATAGTAAAGTAGAGTTGACACATGAACTTTTTATTTTACGGTTATTGCTGTGAATTTTTTTTTCATAAATTGTTTTAATATCAAATTTAACATGAATTTCTCCGTGATTTTTTGATTTAGATTGTTACTCTTTCATCGGTCTTGTTATTTTATTGTACGAGCATTTTCTCGACTAAGAAATATTTAATGTGATTTATAAACATATCACAGCTTGTCTACATCACGCATGATTTTTTGTTTGTGAGCATAATCCACCTGAAGTGTGTTTGACATCTAATTATTTTAAATGTTCTTTTTAAAAAATCTAATTCCTTTTCCTCCAATATTTTTCGCTATAAAAGCTTTTGTTTTCATTTTGAACTCAATGTTGAGTTGAAGTATTTTGGAACTGGCTTAAAACTTAACATTCGCATCAGTAAGCGCCAGATATAATCGATTAACTGTGCATAATTTTACAATCGTTCATATTTTAGTATTGCTCCAAAGTACTTTACGTTTATACAGCTGTGCATAGTGTAAACATCCATTTCAAAGTCTTCGAAAATAATGAAAGTATACGTCACACTGTGGCCACTTAAAAATACCCAAAATGTTAAATATAATGGAAAACATATTCAGTTGAAAGACGTCAGAATACAAAGTTTAGTGACTACATCAATTAAGTTTAATTTTGTCATGACGGTTTGAATAGCCATACTGTGTCTCATACAACGAGGCTTGTTCAAAGAAAAACATAAATCTAAAGCAGTTGAAAAAGTCGAACTACTGTGTAGTGTGGTTTAGGAGCTTAAATTGCTTTCTTGGACAAGTTAACGAAAAGTTAGACATAGCGCAATGTTTTCTGTTACCTTATAATAATAGCTTCGTCTTCGGTGATGTAGGTAAAACATTAATTGGAGGGGCGGGAGGAGGGGGTATATTCAAATATTCAAATATTCATTTGCACACGATTGAGTTTTCTTGAAAGTGACTCTGCTTTCAAAACACAACTCAATTTTTGTACCTTTTCAGCTCCATAAATTTCATGACAGTATGATTCACATTACCAAAATGATAGAAAAATTTTGCATAAACACGTTAATTTTTTTGAAATATGGTGTTTTAATCTGTTAAATGAAACACATTATTATTACATAAGCAAATCCATTGATCAATGAGAAAACAGGATAGTGCACATTGGTTTTTCGAAAAGTCTTGCATACTGTAATTATTAGATTTGCTATTAGTCCAATATATTTTTATAGGAATTTTCTGTGAATAAAACATGTTAAGAACATCGATAAAGGCATAAAGGAGGAAAATATTTTTGGTGATCATGTCTGGTAGCGTTGCCAAACAGGGTTGCGTAACTTTTTACCCCTTTGAGAATTACATAATGCATTGTTCTAGAGAATTTCAAAAGTTAGATAACTTTTTGCAAAGTAATTTCAAGGATGTAATTATTATTTTCGCATGAATTTTCCCAAAACTGATAACTAAAGATTGTCGCTTAAAAGACTTATCTTAGTGACACGATTTATTTGTGAATAATTATTTGCTCTCACACATTAGTGAAACATGTTTTTAATCACTGCCTTATGATTAAATTTTTTTTCATTTTTTATTTTTTTCAATGTTGGTTGGTACCATATTTCTAAAGAACCTGAAAGATGACGCTCATGTGTGATAAAGTTGGAGTGTTGATGTTGTATTTTGTGTTGGTTGACAGTCGTGTGAGTACATCCAAAATTTCAAGTTGTCTTAAAAAAAGGAAGGGTGAGTAATAATCCAGAATTCTTTAAGGGTTTTTGATCATTTGCCAAAAAATAATGAATGAAATAACATTTCTAAAGAAAATTAATGATGAAGTTAAGTCTTAGTCTTTGTTGTAACTTATTGAGAATTCCTTTTTACTATTATGCAGTATAACAGCTGAATATTTTCATCGACAAGATGCTTGATGTCCTTTTGAGTTCCTCCAACTAGCATGCACTTTGCAAATACTGAAATTTTCATTTAAGTTATCTGCTAAAGTGGTTAACTTTAAAATAATCAAATCACACCAAAACATAATTTAAAAAAAACCGATTCAGTGGCATCGTCAGGTCTTCAAACAGAAAGGGGAACTATGTAAAGGCTAAACGTGTAAAAGCACGAGCTTTGTTAGAGGGAATACACGTTGAAAATGTTTTATTCTTAAAATGCTATTTTGTAGATAAAGTTTCAAGCAAGTTGTCTGAAAATTTAAAAGCCCAACATCAATGATTTTTAAATGAGATATGATCTTCGCACTTAGCTGGACAATTTAAGCAATCGTCTCAGGACCTGAAAAAATCAGGTGACTCAACGGGATTCGAACCCATGACCTCTGCGGTGCCGGTGCAGTGCTCTGACCACTGAGCTATGAAGTCACACAGTGGTGAGCAGGTCAATATTGTTGGGCTCATGTTTTCTCGTGAAATGAATGTCATATGAATGAATGTCATATGACATCAATGATTTTTGTTAAGAAAATAAAAGTTTTCGTAGGGAAAAATTCTACTCTAGGCTAATCTAAATGTGTCGACAAGGTTATTAAAAAGTTTTATCCGCAATATATCTGTTTTTAGTATTTCCTTTGATATGTTCCCATTTCTTGGAAACAACTACGTGCTTAGCTGTTTAGAATTTGCATAATTGTACAACCACCCACCCTCACTCCTCAAAAAATTTTGCTTTTAATTGAAAATTCCGAAATTTGCTATAAGAATGACTGGGCAAACACATTTTCCCAGTTTCCTTCACGGCAATAACATACACTGAGGCAATCAATTCAACAGACAATAATTAGCCAAAAAGATCTTAGCATGTATATCATGATGTATGATATGGAAACAGACCTCATGACTTTCGAAGTTTTTACACAACTAATCAACTAATCAATAAGCCCGTAACCCAAGCAATAACCATAAATGTACTATTTCTACACATATCACTACAACTATATTTATCAATTGTTCAAACTGTCCTTATATATATATATATATAAGTTTGAAAATTTGTAATCCAGGCATTTAATACATAAAAGATAAAAATTTCTCCGGATTTTAAGTGATTTTTATTGAGCTTTCGACTCATTGCTTCGAGCCTTCATCAGAATGAGGATGTTTATTTGTTTTTTTTTTATTTTTATAGATATATTTTTTATTTTATAGATCGGGGGAGATTAAGTCCCCTGAAGAGTGAGCAATCACGAAACAGGCTTGTCGGGATGAAATTGTAGTTTTTGTGTATTTTTCTCAACACCACTACACATATTCACGCTCTGCTCTTGGGCATCGAGCACTGTTTTATACGGAAAATCATAAATTATAAACTTCCTATATATATATATATATATATATATAATGAAATAAAATGGACAAGTATTTGCTGTCGCTACTCGGAGTTTCACGCCGTAGGGCGATCTTCAGGCAACTGCAGTTGCTTATCTTACGCTCTCCTATTATATAGGATATTGAGCGCTCTTTTATCCAGGAATTCTCCATAATATATATATATATATCATTGAAAGTGACTCAGTACTATTTTTATGAATGTTTTCTCTCAATTTCAATTTACCGTTATCTGCGATGAAAATTTACGAAAATTGCATCTTTGAACAAATAATTTACACTAAATTTGTGTTGTTTTTCTCACTTTTATCAGGGAGACCGATACCAATATACATACTTCCTGGTGAATGGGTTATTTTAATTGCAGTGTAAATCACAACGATTTAAAGGCTCAAATTCTGAACAGCAAACGAGAAATTTTACATGTTGACAACAACCAAATAAAAATATTAAGCAAAAATGTTTTCAATGTTACAAACTTGACAAAATCAGATATATACACCTGCAACCGTTGCCAAGTGCGCTACAATGTCATGGTTCAATCAGGTAAGACGACTCAATATGATAAATGATATCGCAAATTACTCTTAACCCAGTTAATAGTTTTTGCTTTAACAAAAAAATTTTGATGAAATTTCATTCGACTTCTCAATTTATTTTTTTTGACTTGATCGTTGTTTTGTGAAATTACTCAGGCCTGACATTGAATCACTGTTTTGTATATTCCAGAAACTCCATCCTATCAAGTACCTTTAATCACAAAAGAACCAGAAAAAACAATATATGATTACAAGGAACGTGTTACATTGAATTGCAAGCTTATTGGCCCTTCATATTTAATAGCAATTTATTACAGAATATCATGGAAAAGAAATGGTAAGACAGAAAAGGAATGCAAAACAGACTGCAAGTTGCCAATTAACATAACACCTGAAAGCGTAGGAAGCTACGAGTGCTCAATTGAAAGAAAACCCGTTCACTACAAATCTTCTCAGAAAGTTACGATAAAACTCAAAGGTCAATTAATTAGTTATTTTGTCTAAATTAATTTCCCATCGTTTATAATTTTTGGAAATTTAAATCACTGTTCAAATACACTACATGTCACATTATGTATATACCATGCAAATGAAAGCAAATTGGTATATACAAACTGTATACAATTTCATATTTCTGTCATGTTCGCTACACTGTGTTTCCTCACAAGAAAGCCATCTTCAAGAGATGAATCAATCATCTCTTATATCAAGTTGGTCTTTTTAATATATGTAATGACGTAGCTAAATTTTACAATTGGTCGTCTTTATTTTTCACTTGTGTGGTCTGAATTTGTATTTATCAGTAGGCATCTGGGGGAAAAAACTGATCTCTTACTGAATGTTTTCATTTGAAATAAAAAGGGGTTGTTTTTCTTGAGCGTGCAAGATACAGAAACGTGAGTCAGCAGAGTTGGGTGGGATGCATGTAAGAACTCTTCATTTCATCCCGTATAAAGTCAAACATTCGCTTTTAATTTCCGGAAATAATTTAACAACTCTGTTTCAATATAAAACCTGCCGACTTGGTTGGATATTAGTTGATTAGCCTGATGATTTTGACGGAAAGAATTTGACGTTTCTACAACGTAAAGTCTTATCCTGCTGCCGACCATTTTTGGTGGCGTTTAAAATATGATGGATCCAACGAGCAGATTGTAACAAGTTGTTCTGCGGCTGAGAAACATTGCAAATATCATGACGGAAAAAAAAATTACAAGAAACAAATTTGAAGTAAAGTCTGTCAGATTCCCTGATGATAATATAACCTACATGATCAATGTAAGCAATATGAAGGGATATGAGATCAAGAATATTTCAATACAAATTCTTGATTAGTCCTAATCGAAAAAGTATTTGAGGTAAATGAAATTAAAATTTTACGGTGTGTTTTAGTTTCTTAAATTCATTTTTTTAAATTTTTAGTTAAGCCTAGCATTGAAATTCGAAACGAAAATATAGTTTTGAAGAAAGGATTTTCGGTGTTGAAATGTACATTAAGCCAGAGACAATAAACAAAAGAAGTAACCTTCAAATGGTTCATCTGTATATCTGATACCTGCTACGACGACAAGCATTGGAAATACATTTCATCCAGCTATTCTTTAAAAGTACAGAATGAGGGCAGGTACCGCTGCAGTGCATGCAATATAGTTGGAACAGCTATATCGCCAACAATAAACGTCGTCAGGGATATTTCAACAAACACTAATGTTGTCAAAAACAACAATCACACAGGCAAGTCTTCTTTATCAATGTCGCAGAATTTGAGGTCGTCCAACAATATAATCTGCACTATGACTTTTTTAATGATTGTGTTTTACTGACAAAGAATAAGCAAATCGCAACATTTTGTTCGACCATATTAAAAAATCTACAATCTAAGCTTTTCATCAGTCACAACTGATCACCAATACCTAATTGTACTCCAACCTACATTCTATAACCATATTTATAATTTTTGTGTATAAAATTAAATATCATCTTACATCAATCATTGCAAAATATATTGTTGTTGTTTTTATCTTTACTAAAGAAGCTACATGCAAAAATCGCTTAAATAAAAGCATGTATTAACGTACTTATGCTTATATTTACCACAATCCCCGATGATCATGAAATTTAACTTATGTATCAATCTTGCTTTTTGTTGACAGCTTACAGATTATATTTTTAGGCCGTTGAATTTGTCTATAAGCAGTATGATTGGCAAGATAAAAGTTGCAACTCTTCAACAGCATTAAAAACTATTTTTTTACAAAACTTCAGTACTCTCGAAATGAATGATTCATACACGCAACTCAGCCATAAAGTATTTTTTCTATTTATGTAGTAAACATTGCCAATATACAACAGTCGACAAAGATAATATCGATATTTGTCATATCTACTGGCGTCATCACACTCTTCATTTTGGCGATCACATCTTATGTATTTTACAAAAGGAAAAATATTCACGGTGGTTTTTATCTTCTTTTTATCCTCCATTGCCTTACTACATTGGAAAGATTGATATGAATGGAAGCATACACGGACAAATACAAAAGCTTACATTTTTACATGAGTGGGAGTTTCCAAGAGAAAGAATAAAATGCAGTAAGTAATCCCATGGAAACATTTCTCTCATCAATTTTTTTTTATTCACCGCATTCGTCCGGTTCAAATGCAGGATAATTTTTGGTAAGAACTCAAATTTTACAAGCCTTGTTTGCATTTTATATTTTTCTCTACAGTTTTAAGTAATGTAGATTGTCTTAAGCTAAAAACGTAGGTATTTAAGTTTTCTTGACTAAATGATAAATTTGTTGATAACATTGATGTTTTATGTAGTAAATAAACCTGGGTCTGGTGAATTTGAGGTAGTTTGGCTTGCAGAGGTAGTTGGTATCTCGTCATTTCATCCAAGAGTCATCCTGAGAGAGAAAGAAAATCAAAGAAGATTTTCGTATTTTAAAAGAAATTATGCAGAGACATTACTAAAGTTGCAGTTAAGAAAACCAAAGGTTTAGTTGCAATAATGTATTTATTAACATATTTAATTATTCATATTTTATACGTTTTATGCTCATGCAAGGAGCATTATTTTTTGTTTCATGATTATAATGACAAAAAAAGATTGAGAAAACACTGAAAAGATACGTTTTTTGTCGATAAGGAAGGTGAATTTTTTGAGCTACTCGTTATGATATTACGATACAACCTCGGATTCAACTACGACTTTTCCCTTTACAAGTGGAATTGCATAAAAACTGATTAAAAATACGAACTGAAATGATGATACAAAGAAAATTGTCCTTTAATACAAATTTTTATTTCAAAACCATCGTCAGACAAAATGAAAATGATCCTTTCTCGGATTGTGTTTCATTTTATAATAACAACGCCACAGAGAGTATGTGTCAAACAAACTAAATGGCTACGTGGGCTAGCACTGACATGCTGACGTTTCGACATGAAATGAGGTCAATATTGGTACATGCTGCGTTAACCCGATCGTTTTTTAAAGTATTGCAAATTAGATATTGTCGTCATTTGGCTGTATACAAGTTGCAGTGTGGGACGTGTACATAAAACAAACAAAGTAATAGAAAATCGTCGATAATCGACATTGGCAGGTTCATCTTTCTGAATCCAGTAGTGGTTATACCCCGTACAGGTATTTATTGTAATAACTTTGGTTTATATAATAGTTTCTTGAAAGATCTGAGTTTTTATGCGAAAAGTATACCATTTGAGAAAGTTTTAAAAACTTCAATTGCGAGAATATTCATGGTGATTGCGATACTATGAAAAATACCTCATACAATTGAAATTAGGCTTGCGATGTCGACACAATTCTACATTGTATTGGCTTTGTTGATTTAAATAGCGCAACTATTTTAGCAAATAAGTGAACATCAATAGTTATCAAAAATTCATTGAATGAATAACTTTGGCTTCCCTAATGATCTCAGACGAGTCGTTTTTTTGCCTAAAACAGCTGCGAGGCTTCCTCTTCCATTACAGATTCCTAATCAGGGTTATGCGAGTTTTGCTGGACGCTAACATTATAATTACATACCTCTCCAATCCTACTTCTCCTGCAGTATCTACGTGGTTATTAGTTTCTGTCCCGCTTCTGTGTCACAAATCATAATGCGAGGCATTCTTTTATAAGCAAATTTTGTAGATTTGCTTCAGACAAGGCATAACTGAACGCTGCATGTTATATGTTGACCGTTACGTTTAAGGAATAGTTGACTTAAAATTCCAGGTGAAGATGTACAAATTATTTTTGATGCTAATATGACTCTGTAGATGACATTGACAATGAAGCATTACAAAAGATGTTTAACATATACTGCATTGTTTTGAGTACATATCTGTTTGTATTTACTGATTTCTTGACGTTAATCACACTGCCTTGATAGCTTGTTTGACTGATAAGCTTTTCTGCAACCACACTTTCGGGTTTTGTGGGTAATGTAGATCTTCATCAAAAAAATACTATAACTGGATTGTAAAGAAATGCTTCAATGTTCACAGCTATGTTTTTCTTTAGCAACAATAATTTCTTTGAGGTATTATGTAATTGACGTCAATGTTCAACACTTTCATGGATCTTTGTATACGTATATTTTGCTTGACGCTTCTTTATATGTGCAGCTGTGCGTATTTTGAATTATTCACAAAACGTGCAAAATATTTAAAAACAGATGCAATTGCAAATGCAAATTGCGATACAATAATAAACACATGACGGACAAGAGAAAATTACGAGAAACAAGTTCGAAATAAAGTCTGTCAGATTCCCTGACGACAGTTTAACCTATCAGATAAACGCTTGCAATGAGAAAGGATATGAGATTAAGAAGATTTCAATAAAAAAACTAGGTCAGTCCTGTTTGATTTAAAAAGAAAAGAAAACTGAAATTTTAGCGTAAAAAACATTTGCATACAAACGAAAGGCAAATAAATGGCACTTGTACATTATGCGCCCTTGTGCACCAAGCAAAACTCAGATTAGAAGCTCAACTTTTAATTCAATAACGGTTTCGACATTCCAAAGAAAAAATACCAAAAAACATAGCTATTTAGTTTGTTTTGAAATGTATCATACTCAAAGATTCAGCTTCTCAGAATTGACTCATGCATAATAAAAGGATCACTTTCAGTTTTTACATTTGTTTTTTCAGTTGCACCTAAAATTTACATTAAAGACACAAAAAGATTTTTAAAGAAAGGATTTTCGGTCCTAAACTGTACGTTAACGCAGAAATATGTCCCACAAGAAGTAACCTTCAAATGGTACATTTGCCAATTTGATATCTGTGATGAAGATATGAACGAGAGAAAAAATATTTCATCCAACTATTCTTTAACAGTAAAGATAGAGGGTAGGTATCGCTGTACTGCCAACAATAGCGGTGGAATAGATACGTCACCAATAATATCAGTTGTCAAAGAATCCAAACAAACAGGAATGTTTTCTCTTGTTAATAACTTGCAGAATATCTTAATTTTGTCATTGAAAGTAGTGCATTGGCAGAACTAACTTACCTAGACAATCGGAGAATGTTAGACAATCAGGCAATTAAAGAATGTGTTAATGCAAAATTATATTTTATAAATGAAGTACAATGTGGAAAGGGTTGCTTTTTCTAGATCGACCAGTTCTGTTCAAAAGCATCCACTGCCAGAGCTAAAGGATCTGGTTTCAAACTGTAAAAGAGAAGCAGTTGAGTGTTCAACCTGTCCGCAAAAAGACCTAACGCACAAGGCCACCGAATACGCATTAAAGCAAGAAAAATCTCATGACATAGTACCAATCATTCGATCCGTTGAAATACCAAGACTACCAATCTGCAAGTACGTTTACCGGACCAGGTAGATGTTCTGCACTGAGATGAATATTGCGATTTGACGCCCATTCCCATAAGGCCAGAGCCAAGTTGGAAAGAACAAGTAAGCACGTTCACCCTACGCAGTTTCTAAATGCCGCAGCTGAAGTGTGTCCATGCGAGGCCTAACATGGACACATAATTGACCCTTTGTGAAGCTCATCGCCGCAAAGGAAACCACAAAAAGTTGTAAACAATTTAAGTGAAGCTTTCTTTCCATTTCATGAGCCTCCGCTCCTCACACCCTGACAAACTGCTTTCAACCTTGACGCGAAGCATCTGTTTTGATCATTAAATTCGACGATGAATGCAGAATCATTAGACCATTCCAAGCGTCGTGATGCGCAATCCATCAACGTAATTCTTCCTTGGCATCGTTGGGAAGAGCTAGAGTCACATCATAACCCAAGTGTTGCGCTACAACTCAGTGTTTTAGATGTTGAAGTGATGGGTAATGCAGTGGAGCAGGAAAGATAGCCTGAATCGATGCGGTCAACTTGCCAAAAGGGTGAGGTAGTTCCCCCACTAACAATTTGTTTTGAGCTAACATTTCCAAAAAAATGTTCTTTATAACCTTTAATTTGGAATTGCAAATAAGTAGAAACATACTTTGACTGTTCACCAAGAAACCGCAAAATTCCAGCTGCTGGGTTTGGACTGAAACAGAACTTCTCGAGCTATATGACAAACTCGAAACTCTCCAACAGTTACCGTGCAGTTAATTGCCATGTCCTGCAGCAGACCCTTCGTGACTAATTCATAAAATGAGATCACCCAGGAATCAACCGAAATTCGGTTTGACAAAAGAAGAGCCACAACAGCTTTTATGGAATTGGTGAAAAGTCGCGGAGCAACTAGAAGTCCGAAAAGGAGACAAACATATTATAGAAGCCTGTCCTTTTCCTTGAAAGCGAAAAAATTTCTGGTTATTCCTTCAGTCAGATTGAAGATACAAAACAAGCATCCTTTATGTCAATTTCCCCCACCCATCTCAAGGCTTGAGTAAATCTTGCAAAAGGTGTATCCTCTCCAATTTGAAATGCTGGTAGAGAATGAATGCATTTTGAGGTTGATAACCAGTAGTGATTTCACATCTCGTTTTAATATCAAACGAATATCTCTCACAAACTTGTCGGAAACTGGACTGACCATGTTTAGGTGCACTGTTTTAATCAGTGACAAAGTCGAATTTTTTTGTGTTTTTTTTTGTTGTTTTTGTTTTTTTTTATTTTAAGCGTAAAAACTTCAAGGTTAATTTGTGTTTTAGGGGTGTCAGATACCTACGTTTTTATCCCCATGATTGGGGAAAGTAACTTGGACCTTTACTGGTTTGTTTACTAAAAGGCAGTGAATGTTTGTTTTTAAATTTGCCATAGCGACTGGCGCCAATATGACTGTCAATCTCTTAGAACAACTTTTATCTTGCTTCCAAAATAAAATTGTTGAAATTTTTTGCCAAGTAAATCGGAGCAGTTAGGAATAAACAACTCCGTCTAGCCCAGTTCTAAGCATTCGGCAAAACTTTCGATAATAATTTTAACGGCAATCTACTAGGCACAATGCGATGCATTGCCTACTAATGCTATAACCTGGGAAGCCAGGCGAATAACAACTGCTGTATACAAACCAGCGCATTTCTCTAGGCTATTAGAGCCGAATGTCATAGTCTTGGTTAAGAGCAAGAGGGTGAAACACCCGGCCAGCAAAGTTAAGCTAGCGACGGTCAAGAGCTGCGTTAAACTGGCGCCTTTCCACCTAAAGAATTTTTTGTTAAACAAGTCTACTTTTTTTGCATTCATATTCGCATGAAGCTTTATTGGTACCTCTTTAATCAGCTTTCCTTTCGATTTTAGAGAAGACCCGAAAAGCAGCCCTGGAGCCAGTTGCACAAAGCCTGGATAGCGTTATCCATTGGATAGTAAAAATTTTCAAACTTGTAAAAAAATTGTTTAAATTTTTAAGTTTTAAATGTTTAAAGAAATTTCGTAACATTCGAAACAATGTTTTATTTCAGTGATTGTTCAGTTCAAATCTTATACTTTTTGCTTTTTAAAAGGTTTTATAAAATTTGAAAAAAACTTACTATCCAGGCTTCATGCAACCGCCTCTGGCTGATAAATTGACCATCGGACACTTAACCTGCAAAGACGCCTCAGCGGCGCTAGGTTAAGGGCTGCTGCTTTCCTTTTCTTCAGTGGAACCAGCTCCGAAGCCACGACAAAAAAACAGTAAAAAACTCAACAAAAGGACGACAGTCAGAAAAAAACGTAAAAGTGCACGGCGAGCTGATGAAGAACGAATGTAACGTTGTTATAAAATGATACCTAGCGCAATAATGGCGCGCTGAACGAAACATACTTTTTTGCATAGTTTGCAAGTGTTAGTTACAAATGCAATTATGTGTATGCTAACTATACAACAATCCACTTTATTTTAGGATTTGGAAGATAATGAAAAAAATAAGAAAATTAGAAAAAAGTCACTGAAAGTTTCGAAGATGAAGGCAGAAATTCGATTTTTCAATGGCAGTAAAGTGGAAAAGATTCCAATGATTTAATTTACTTTACGTAGAAAAATTTCCAACGCTAGATTTATCTACAAAACTATCCTAACACTACAATATATAAGAGATGGAAGTTTTATGAAAATTTTTTAATAGCTTATAAGCATTATTATGCAAAAATGAAATTTAAATAAATGCGTGTGCGATAGTTAATTTAATTTTATATTATGAGCAACAAACACATAGAAGATCTCAATTTTACATTGCTCGTTCTATCCTTTCCTTAATCAAGTAGCATTTGCAAAGGCAATAACTCTCAATGGCAAAAACCTTTTCCCTACCAAAAATTTTAATAAATATACATTTTGTATGTCATCAAGGGAAAATATTCATTCATTTATGCGCAATAGATACTGCAAAGTACCTTTAATTGCACAAACGCATATGAATGAGTCACGCCTTCATGTAGAAATTTGGCATATTCATAAGCTTTCAATTGCAGAGAGTGGCATTCAATGTGAAAAAAATACATTCAAAAGTGTGAAATATCAATGATTTAGAACCCAATCCGCTAGATGTCTAAGTACCGAGTCAATGTTAGGCAAGGACGCCATCCTGGAAGGTGGAAAAAAGCAAAATTCAAAATGAAAATAATTTATAAGAAGGTTTAAAAACCCAATTCTATCAAACATTTTAAAAATTAAACCTAGATTATCAACTTTGCAGCTGTATATCAACACATGAAAAGTATCGTCTGTTTTGGCACCTTTCAAGATGCGGCTTGTCTCACTGGTCTCACTCGTAACTACAGAATTTTGGAGGAGTTAGATAACTAGTAGATTGGGTTCTAGTCAGTGGAAATACATTGAATACAACTGTTGGAATAGTCATTCACCCCGATCAAAAAGCATTATTGAAAATACAACACACATTTGCCTATTTATTCATAAATAAGTAACTGAATGTTATATTTCTCTATTGATTCTCAATTGGCGTAAATGACTATTTCAACACTTCTAATGAATGCATCTTCACATTCAGGAATGTATATATTTTGCATTCGAATGCCTATTAGTGCAATTATATGCTTATGGACATGCAGAAAGTGTTTCGTTCAAATGCGTGCATGTCATTTGTGACCAGAAAAATGTGTATAATAGAAACCATACTACAAACATCATCTTGGAGACTCAAGATTCGAGTTACAATTTATTGCCTATATGTTTGAAAATCTTCCAAAAACTGCCATGGAATTTTTTTTAACATGTTTGCATGCTTACTTCTTAAATTATTAAAGTTTTAGGGACATGTAAATTAGAGAATTCATGTTCTGTCTTGTTTTCAACATTTGAGAAAACTTTGAGTTTCCAACTTTATCATGCATAAAAGCAGATAGTGCGTACTTCATTCAGATTATCATCTTTTAAAGTTCCTCATTAAAACCCCTTGATAGTTATCATCGAAAATCACGTCAGTTATGCTAATAGACGAGCTTTCTTTTAGTAACTTGCAGGAAAGCGTATATTTACAATCTCTCTCTAGTTTTTACGATCACTAATAATAATCGTAACTAATTATCGTCGCAATGATTTTTCTGCTGAAGCACTCCTTTGAAGTTCTTGCGTAAAAGACGAGTCAGCTTGGGATTTTTTCTTCTCTGGAGAGCAGTCAGGGTGATGACTCAGCTGGGTTTTTTTCTCATAGGAGCAGTCTCGAGGTACAATAAACCAAGATGTGTGACCAAGAGAATTGTAAATAACTCATTTAAGTTAAATTTACTTATTTCTGCAATAATTATTATATGATGTTATACTGCTTTATCTGCTATTTCGTTTTCATTAGGCTCAAGCATCTCCATGCTTAAGCTATAGTACGAATTTTGTTCAATTTTTTTTGGTAGAAGAAAATTACGAAGATCTTTGGCCTTCTTCTCTTTTCATAAACAAACAAGATCATTTGCTTTTCTTTGAAAAGGATTTGTCTAGCTTTGTAAAGTTGAAAACAGCGCTTTCATTTCACCACTTTACCGATATTTAACACAATTCAGTCAATATAATTAAAACCCTTACCTGAACACAATTCAAACAACATATGTAAAAAACCCTGAGCTATTTTCATGAGAACTCTTCGGTATTCAGCAATTAATTAAAACTTAACTTTATCTAAGTATTTTTAATTGCATTTATTGTTTTCCCACATGACTAACTGATCCATAGGATTCTTACTAGACAAATTGGCTTATCAATTTGAACTGAAAAAATCCCTGCAATACATGCTGCCTGTGTGACAGGCTTGTGCTTGTGGCAAATTTCCTTCTCTCCCTCAATTGAAAGAACATCTTGCGTCATCCAACAGAAATGCTCGCGTTTAGGAGCATAAAATTCCATTGCTCCAGAGAGTTTCTCTAGGTCTTTCAGTAATTTTTACTGTTCGTAATTCTTTCTCTCAATGCTAAACGAAGAGAGCTAATACTCTAATACCTTGTTTCTATAATGACTATTACATGGTAAGGAGGTGCTTTATCTGCAACTTCTTTTTGATATGCTACAGCATCTTTATACTAAAGCTATGGTAAGATTTGTTTTCAATTTTTTTGGTAGAAGTAAATCACAAACATCACCTGTCGTTTTCTTCTAATTTAATCAGCAAACAAGATCATTGTAGCGTTGCTTGTTCATAGACAATTCAATGAATGCCCTTAACACCTATGTACAGCTATTGAAATCCTACTCTAATAATACGAATATTTAAATCAAATATCATAATTGATTAGGGAATTAACTACACGACAATTATGTTCACCTCTTTGGAAATTGTTTGTCCAGCTTACTTGTGTACATGAGCATTGTGATCAAGAATCGCCAGTTTGGGTGCATGCTACCATTTCATTTAAACTAAAATGCTTTGGAGCATGTTTAAAAGATAACTAAATGGCATTGCTTAGACGGGTTTCTTCAGGAACAAAGGGACATGGGAACATTGGAACAAAGTAGCAATGCCCATGTAAACATGCAGTTTTCATTAGCCTCATGCCGCCTTTGCTTGGACGGGTTTCTTCAGGACGTTCAATAACTTACTATTGGTAACTATTTCTTCTACGGCTACGTGAAGAGACCGGCTTTGAGCTAGACGAGAGATCAATTCCTTTCTGTGAACGCACCATCACAAATGATTATATATTGACTTGATCCAAGAAGTAAACTCTTCAAATGGTTTTTTTCATGCCTTGATTTCTTTGTTATACCCATTTGACAATATGCCAGACACGATACTAGTACTTGATGTGGGAGAAAAAATTCTTCATCTTGACTGTAATCATTGTATACCTGAAAGTGGTTAGGCGTCGCACAGAGGTGTTTCTCGGATCTTCAATGTTATTTTGAATTTTTCACACTCAATAGCATTGAAAAATATCATCTCTGTGACTGTAAATAAAATTGAACTGAATACTTTTCTTTGTACTTATTCTTTAGTGCATCATGGTTTATGTACCATACTTTAAGAGAATTGATGGTTGTGTTAATAAGTATTGTCACTGAACAAAGTAGCAATGCCCATGTAAACATGCAGTTTTCATTAGCCTCATGCTGCCTTTGTAATGCTTTGTTTTAGTTGTGATGATGCATCCTCATTGAGGACAGAACACAAAAAGCTTATCAAGTTCTTTTTTAGAAGCAATCTAATTTCTTCCTTTGTTGAGTTAATAGTGTCATCTTCAATTTCACTCTCATCACTGCTACTGGAATTAAAAAAAACCTTGACAAATCATTATTTCCATCAAAGTCATCATAGCGGAAGATGTTTCGAAATGATTCTCATCGCTTCCATGGACCTTCCCTATGCTCAAGTGAATTGTGAACTATTGCTGGTGTTGAACATTATCCAGTGTTGAAACATACAAAGAAGTTTTCAATTTATGAGGGTTGTTGTTTGATATGTCGCAACCAAATGCTTTTTCATTGTACCACTCGGCACACTATGATAAAGTTATATTTCAACCTTTTGTCTTCCTGAATTGCTTTGTACATTAAGGAACAGCACAACGCAGCTTGACGCTCAATTCACAGCCTTTGTAACTTACAGAACATTCATAAATAAAGCTCACTGCTATACAACGCAGTTACTCTTGTCCTTTTACGGGAATCTACTGTAATAAGCTAGTTACACTGGCCTGCTCGAAAAAGCCAATGTGGTGTACATAATTGGTCAAATTTGCGAAACTCTATGAGCGATTTTTTTTTATCTAAATACATAGCATTACCGTTGAAAATTTCCATTTGGGCTAGAGCAAAACCTATAGTTCTCACACATTGGTATTTCCAGAATTTCTTAAAAGCACGATGGATATCAGACATTTTAATTTGATACACTTAACGATAGTCACATACACATATTTATATATCATGTAAATAGCATAATCACTATTATTCTATGTACTGAAGATGGCATAAGCATGCCGACACATGTTTACAATAAGAAAACTCGTCGTTCATTTAAAATGTCTCACAGTGGTATTTGTTGTTATTTATTCAAGTAACTGCAACAGACCATATGCCTTACTAATTTTCATTTAGAAAGTTTGCCATGCATCACGGTGTTAGTAGTTACGCATGTACGCTTAACATCAACATGGCCACAGTATTTTTTCCAAAAAGTATACTCGGTTTGAGGAAACAAAAAGTTCTTTAAGCAGAATTATTTGTTTCCTTTTGTGAAATGCATTGTGGGCAATCGAGTGTTAATGTTGTCAAATTTTTAATGCTGATTGCTTTTGTTGCATTTGATATAAAACACGTAAATATTCGGTGAGACTTTATGACAAATTGCAATTTCAGCAACTCTTGAAAAGGTACTCAATGACAAAAAAGTGGCCTTTCATCAATAAAGTTTTCTGCCTAGTTCACATACTCGGATATGTGAACTGGGCAACTTTATTGATAAAGTTGCCAATAAAACCGAATATTACGTTTTATCAAATGCAACAAAAGCAATCAGCATTAAAATTGACAACAACTCGATTGCCCACAATTTCAAAAGGAAACAAATAATTCTGCTTAAACTTTTGTTTCTTTGTGATGTGTAGAGAAAATAAGACATAAGTAATCTTATTTTATTTTTGTTCGCTATATTTTTCTCAGCTGAGAAATCGAAAGACAACAAATGAGCTTTTTTGTTGTCTTCCCGGTTTTCACGCCAGTCAGCTTTAATATTCAATATATTGAAACTTCAATCGAAATCATTGCAATCATACATTTTTCAAACCTTGCCACAATATCTATGGTGGTATTAAGCTGAAGTCACTCTCCAAAATGGTAAGAAATCTTGGGTTGGTCTATAGAGAAAACATGATTCGAGGTTGAAATGAGCACAAGATCGAGACTATAACTCTATATTATGGACTTAAGATTAACCATTGTTAATCTGTCTTACGAAAGTTTAATTTTTCAGTCCTTACAGTAACAGATATTCATTGTTTGAAATATTGCAACAGCATATGGTAATGAATATAACCGCTGAATAAAGTAAAAGTTGTTTGCTTTTTCAGTTTTCACAAAGCAAAAGTTGCGATTATGACACAGAACGTCAAAAGCATTTAATAGACTACTTTTTCACTTTTTTTGCAAACACAATAATTAAATGTTGTTTTCAAAATGTAACTTGCCATAAAAAACTCCCAGTCACTTAAATCACTCCTAGTTATACCGACGCTACAAACGTCAAAATATTTTAGTACTAAATTGTCAAGTTAGTGTCGTTATATACGTATATGTATATCTACATTTATATTTTTCATACTTACGAATCTTTTTCGAAATTAGTGTCCTAACAGCAGATTTAAATGTATTAAGATTATCGTCCACGTGGATCTAAGATGAAATTAAATTTATTTGGCATATATTTCACCGCTAATTTTCAAAGTGCTTTTTTCTTTGGGCAGTATATCGGTCTTTGAAACCCCGAAATGGATATAGCTACCCTCAGTCCAAAATAATGAAATTCTATGTACTGGATGAAATTTTTGCATGTCATTTAAGTTTGGAAATCATATTTTAAAGGCGTACGAAAATTGAGTTTTCAATTTTAAGCATCAGTAGCAAGCCATTATAATTATTGACTTTTTTTCGTGGTTTTTCGATTAAAACTTTTTCTCTCCGCTAATCTTGGGAACTGTATGTTTCCATAGCAACAAAGAATGACACGTAAAGAGATATAAAACGTGACCGCATTAACTCGTCTATATAAATTATTGCAAATTACATACTGTCATTATTTGTTGGCATGCGGCTTAATAGAAAAGTATGAAACAAAGAAAGTAAAAAAACAATCGCTCGTATCCGACATTTGCAGTCAGGTATTTATTCTGATACTTATTTTCATACCGGTTTGAAAAAGTTGTGCCTTTCATATTGTGTTGGGATAAAAGGAGTCATTTTCATTTGAAAAAATATTAAACTAATTAATGTTTATCGGACTTCTTCAAATTGAAAGATTTGCGTTGAAATAGCTGAAGATCTGTTAATAGTAGTCATTCCCAGTCTGTTCATTTTCTGATTTGCAATCCTTTTATTACTAAATAATCGGAAAAAACTTTTTATGTCAAGACCAATACTTTGATGAAAATTTCTTCGCAAAAGAAAGTAATAAAACAATCGTTGTATAAAAACATCAGCACTTTTGTTTTCATGAATTCAGTTGTTTTTGTCCTAAATAGAGAAGTTAATATCAAAAGTTCTGTGCTAGTCTATATACAAGTCATTAGTGCATAAAATAGTTTTTTCGTTTATATTCGTTTGCTAAATACGTCACAACATCGACATTTATGTGCAGATGCATTAGAATTAACAGTCAATAAGGGATCTAATCTTCTTATCCTTCATCTTTAACTCATTCAGCGCACGAAACAGATCTAATTTCTTTAAAAACGAAGTATTCTTATTTAAAATAACGTTCAACTAAGCAAATGCTGTTTCTTTATTTCACTCGGGTTAAAGCAGCTGTGACATTGTAGACCATTTAATTTTCGCAGAACGCAAATTTTTCGAATTTAAATTGTTAATGAACTCGACTTAACGCTTTGAGAAGTTGACTTTGATACAAACGACACACTACAAATTAAAAAAACTGTGACCGCGCCTGTGAACATCTGCCACAATCTCTTGTATTGTTTTTCAATAAAAAATACGCTGATCTCCATGTGGTTTATGCACGCGTCATACAATGACCTAGAACCCAATCTACTAGATATCTGACTCCGCCGAAATTGTATAGTAATGAGTGAGGTAAGCCGCCATCTTGAATGGTGGCAAAACTAATTAGAAAATTAAACGAGACTTACCTGAAGTTGAAGTTTGATTGATATTCTACGAGTTATTGTTCAGGAACTTGGAAGTCATGTGAGATAGAGCGCGCGATATCAAGATCAGTTTTTAAAAAATTTGCAAACGTCCACATATATTTTGGGAGGCAAGTAGTATTTCACATCATTTGAAAAGAAATAAGTTAGTAGTTGGGTGGGTGACTTCCTAGTTCCGGAACAGTAACTCAGGTAAGTCTCGTTTAATTTTCTAATTCTATTTCTTCACTGTTCTACGTCACTAGGAAGTCATGTGAGATTTTAAAGCAATGTGGACATGAGCAATAACTAAGAACAAAATAATATAATTGAAATTTCACATTTCATGTCTCACAAATGGCAGAAAGTAGATCATTGCCAAAGTTCTTCGCCTCAATTGGTTTATTATAAAATGTTTGAAAGTTTGTTCATTACGCCATGTAGCTGCATTCATAATAGTGTCCATAGAAATATTCAATGCGTTTGCGGCAGAACTTGATGCAGTTCTAGTACTGTGTGCACTGTAAACCTCAGTATTTATACCAGCATCCTTTAACACGTATTTTAACCATCGGGAAATTGTCGCTAAAGTGACCAAATAATAAGGTTTTTGATAGCTCAATAGGAGTTGTCTCGCACCATTTCGTATGGGTGCAGTGGCATTTAGATAATGAGACAAGTAATTGAATACACATAACCCAGGCTCTGGTGGATAAGCTCGAAATTCTAAAGGAGCAGCATGCTTACCAGGTTTAGATGTTTTGAGCAGTTGGTGCACATGAAAAACTATTCGATCTTCTTTCTTCTCCATGTGAGAAATATCCAATGCATGAAGTGTTTGGCATCGCTGACCAGATAATACAGCTAAAAGCATTACTGTTTTTAGTGTTAATGATTTCAAATTGAGAATTTCGGAGGGTGGAGATTTCGAAGATGTTTGAATACCACTGAAACGTCCCAGATCATGGCATATCTAGGAAGAGCTGGTCTTGCAACAAATACACCTTTAACAAACCTAGCAACGAATGGATGTGTACCAAACGAGATGCCACTTGGTAGAATTAGGATAGTAGATAAGGCGCTCCTTGCAGTATTAATTCCGCTGTGGGATAAACCTTCCTTGTATAATTTTGTAAGAAAATTAATGCCTTCTTCTAAAGAGGACGCGACAGGATTGATATTGTTTGCGTTGCAATATTGTCGCCAACAGTTAAGTATGTAGAATATTGGTACCGGTGCGCCAAGACTGCTGGATGATTTGAGAAGCCTCTGGTGAAATGCCTCTATCAGAGAGGAGTTCCCCGATAAATGGCAAAGTAGTACCTCCAATTTTGTATTGAGAGGGTGGATTTGATCCGGATGAGCTGGAAGAGTTAAGGTCATTCTTCCTCTAAATAAAACAACAGGATGTGCTATTAGCATCTGCATTAAAGCTGGCCACCAACTTTGTGTTGGCCAGTGAGGGACTAAGACTAGTCCTGTGCTTTCATCTTGTACTATTTTTTGTAACACTTGCGAAATTATGCTAAAAGGTGGGAACGCATAAAATGTATAATTGGCCCACGATATCGTAAAGGCGTTGACAGCTATAGCATACGGGTCAGGTTGGTATGAAACATAGGGTTTCACTTGATTATTCAACCTTGACGCAAACAAATCAATGTTCGGAGTTACGTTTAGTTTTTGAATGGCACACGTAAACAGAGTCTTGTTCAACTGCCACTCTGTTTCTCTGCGTGATATTCGAGATTCTCGAACCGCAGTGACATTTTGTAATCCTGGAATGTGCACTGCTGTTAACCAAATATCATACGAAATGCAGCTGGTCCAGACATTGCATGTCAACTTGTGAATAGTCCTTGAGTGGCATGTGCCCATTTGATTAATGCAAGCTACAGCGGTAGTATTATCAATTAATACCTTAACATGTTGACCTTTTAGTTCTGAAGAAAAAGACTTAAGGGCAAACAATACTGCAAGACTTTTCATATAATTTATATGATTGGAAGCCTCCAAGGGCGTCCAGTTGCCCTCAGCACATACACCATTTAGGGAGCAGCCCCACCTTGTCAACGACGCAACAGTGGTTAGGCATATGCTAAGTTCATTGTGAGTAATTTGCCTGTATGTCGTGCATATTGATGACTGCCGCCATCGTAAGTCATGTATGGCCGCTGAAGACAGGGTCATTGTCTTGTCAAAATTACCCCGGTTTAACTTAAGGGCATCGCTTTTATCCATTTCCAGCCAGCGGTAATGCAACTGACCGTACATTACGCCCGGGAGACTCGAAGTGAGAGTGCCCAAAACCCGAGAAACATCCCTCATTTTTGGGTGAGAAGCTAGTAGCAGCTCATGACACATGCGTTTGTCTTCTCAGCTCGTTCTGTCGTAACAGATATTCGCATAAGAATTTAGTTGAGTCGGGAACCCAAAAAAGTAATTACTTGTGAGGGAACTAAAACTGACTGATCCGGATGTACGTAAAACCCTACTTTACTAAATAAGAAGATGGTATCTTGAATATTCCGAACACATGAAGCATATGTGTCAGCCAAGTATCACCAAGTATCAGCCAAGTATCATCAATAAATCCAACCGAAATATGTCCTTTTTGACGTAAATTTGAAAAAACAGGTTTGAGGAGTTTTGTAAATTTTCTTGGGCAGATGGCTAGGCCGTTAGGAAAACAGACAAATTTATATAGTTGCCCTCTACACCAAAATTTGAGGAGTTTTCGATATGCTGGGTGAGTAGGTACCGAATAGTAAGCATCTTTGAGATCGATGGATGCCATGAAACAATTTGGTTTCTTAAGCCTAATAGCTGACCAAACACACTCCATTTTAAAATGATGATATCTGACATGCCTGTTTAAGGATTTTGGATTAAGAATCATGCGAAAAGAACCGTCTCTTTGGGGGCAAGTGAAAATTGGAGATACAAATTCCCCTGATTCAGGGTGAGAAATCTGCAAAACGTCTTTTTTACGTAATTTGCTAATTTCTAAATCAATGTTGTTAATTTCAACCTCGGGTAGCTGTGTTTGCTTGGGTAAGGCTCTTTGTATCGGAATTGTGTCAAATTCAATTTTTTGTCCAGACACTGTCTCTAAGATTTCCTTATCAGAGTTGAGTGTTTCCCATGCACTTAAAAAATTGATATGCTGCCAGCCTGATAGTTCTCCAAGCTTTTATTCAAATACGCTATTAGCGTGGGTACAAAAGAAGAATACTGGTTTACCTTAAAATTTCTTATAAATTCAGTGTTTCTACTTGCGATCATTCATTGTGTCCGATCGTTTCTTCCCGAATAATTAATTATTAAAATGTTTAATATGATGGGTTTTTTAAACTTTGTTCTAACTTATTTTTTAATTTTGACTTTTGCTTTTTGCCACCTTTCATGATGTCGTCCTTGCCTCACCTTGTCAAGGTAGTTAGACATCTAGAAGATTGGGTTCTAAATCATTAGTCATGCATTGTAAGTAGTTTTCCTCAAAGACAAATTGCAAGCATTACTTATTCGGCATTGAATTGGCAATCGCATCTCCTTAAGTTACCTAATTACAAGGACATTTCTTTGACGATGATATTTCTCTATTTAACTCATTATTGAAGATAAACATGATCTGATGACAAAGAACTTTAATTACCATTGCTGTTTGTTGCCATTAGAATAGTGCAATTGTTAAACTGTTTTTCCTAATCTAATCACTATTAATTTTAAACATAGTCTTAAACAATTTGGTTTTGTAAAATTTTTTAAAATAATGAAGTTTCGTCTTGATTCAAGGCATCTTCAGATTAATGAGGAAGTTAACAAGAATTATAGATATATATAAAGTTATTTACATATATACAGTCATTTACATTTATATATCTATACAGCTGGTTTTACTTTTTCATTAAAGATGCTAAAATTGAATTTCATACTAAAACGGCTCTATAGATGCTTTTGAGCATCTAAAAGTATTCTTGAACAAGAAAGCATAAGTTGCTCTCTAATAACATGTCTATTCTCAATTTATACATTGGCCAAAAGCGCTGTCCGAGGGATGCTCTTAGGTCTTATTCAAACATGACTGGAGTTTAGTCATTTACGCTGATCTTCGGTTAGTTTAAACTGTCTTTCCACTTCACCAAAAATAATAAGTCTTTAGATGTTTGAATGTTCGAAATTTGATATTGGTTCAGAGTGCTTCCGTCAAATAAGTTGTTAAATAAGAATATATCGTGTTATCCTTTAATGTTTTAGGTTATGCTTAGTAGACCATACGCCGCCCCTAAAGAAGTCAGTTAAATTTTCTACAAACTGTAGACAGTAAAACTATAGGTATAAACACTAATTAAATATATCATCTGGTCAAAGTTTTACATAGAACACCACGATACGCACAGCTGTTGAGCACAATGCGCAACAACACTCACGTAGGCTTTAGCGCATGGTCTCTATTTCCTTAAGCACTCCAAGTGTCATTGACATCACAACCACTCCTAGATCGTTCGTAAAAAGCTTTCTCGTCCTTTTCATGATATTTCAGAAAACCCAAAGATGGCTTTAATCCAAAACAATGTAGCAGTGTTGCTGTTATATGTTGCGCTGATTGAGAGCTGTGCGAGTGCACCCGAGAATTGTACAAGGAATATAAAATGTAAGTAATAAGATATTCTTATTAGGTCTACCCTTATTTAGCTTTATTCTCAACATGCTCGGCAAATCAACTGCTCAATAAACTGCTGTATAATCAAGCCTCATAACAACATTTATTTTGTATGACGGAACTAAGACTAAACCATCTCGTAAATTATACTTTAAAATAAAGTTTAGCGTTGCAGTAAGGTGGAAATATACTGATTTGGCGAAGAGTGATGTGAACAATGTAGAAAACCACTGTAAAATTTCTTCAGGCATTTATATTGAGAACGTCGATTCTGCAACCAGTGAATAACAGACATCGGCAAAAATCATATGATTGGCATAACATTTTTTGACATTTCGTCAGCTCACATTTTGAATATTAAATTAGACTGATATTATTAATAAACAACGCAAAAACTCTGAATTCTGTTTTCTGACTTGATGGCGACGGAGCAAGCTCATATTAACTATCATTTCATCTTTTGGCTTTCGTCAAAGGGCATATGACGTGAAACTTGTGCTATTGAAATGATACTTTCATTAACATAACTTTCAAATTGAGAGTGTACCTTTTACAACAGTTTGTTCGCGTCTCTAATCGTTCTCAAGATATTCTAGTTTATGTAATAACCGCTTTACACAACTAGCGACTTCACATTGCATGATGAGAATTTTAAATAGCAGGTACCAGTGAACTCTATTAAAAGACTGGAACATTAGCTCCAATACATTGAACTAAAATATACCTAGAACGACAACTCCCATAGTTTTGTTCTATGCTTGGCTGAAGCCAACATACATCTAAGATTTGTCAAACTTCTCCCTGAAATAATGCCTTTTTTTCTCGGCGACCGATGTTTGTTTACCTTCTTTCCAGAAGAAAAACGTGAAAGTGATTTAGTGTCATTTTTTGGCTCATATTGTGCTTTATTGCATCGAACAGAATTAGTTCATGCTACAGCAAGATATTTACGAGGGAAAAATATCCAGTTACGTTATAAAAAAAAAACATTTACAGACGCTAGTTTGTTATTAAGCTTAAAGTGTATAAAAATTTTTTGTTGTCTTAGATAAAATATCTCCAAAAACTGCAGTGGACTCTTTTTAACATTCATGTTTGCATGCTTTGTTTGGGATGTTCAGTCGTTTCCTAATCACTATAGGCTTCATTCATACTAACCAAACAAGTACAACACAAGCAGGTTTGTAGCGCAACAACAAAATAAAACATGATTTTAAGATACTTAAATTAGGAAACGATCGACAGAACATAAATTCTTCAATTTTTAAAATATTTCATAGCACAAATACATTGCACATATACAGCTTTCATTATAGAGAATAAAAATGTTATAGAAAATCCAAAAAAGCACAACACATTCAACAACATAGTTGTATAGTTTGATGACATCGTTTGAGCGAATGATCAAAGAAAACGTTTAAAAAGTACAATGTACAAATGGTGTACAGCTGTACTTTCATGATATTTTTTTAACGAATACTGCATGAATCCGTTTTAAAGGTAATATCGTGGTTCGGAGTGTAGAAGAACAATGTTTCGAAATTGCCAACAGTGAAATTTAATCTGTAACATGAAGTTCCTAAGGTTCTTCTTTTGTGAAACTTGGTTCTTCTTTTGTCAAACTTTTATGATTATATATAAGACTGACATTTTTATACAAATTACAATTTGATTTCCTTCTATGAATTTACTACGTGTTGCTTTGCTGGGGCATTTAGCTAGCATTTCATTAACTGAAGATGCAAATAAGCCCCTTTTTGTAAAAGTATTATATCTTTTACAGTTGTATCGGAATATCTACGTCAGCTACGCAGGCTTGTTGGTGAATGGGTGCTTATCAATTGCACAGTTAATTACCATGACATTAATGTTCAACTTTTGGATGAAAACGAGAAGCCTTTACATTTTGAGAACAAAAACATTAAAATTGTAGTAAAAAATATCTTCAATGTGACAAAAGTAACACAAGACCACAAAGAGTACATCTGTAAAGCTTGCAATGAGAAAAGAACTATACGTGTCATCCCTCAAAAAAGTTGGTATTTTGTATGTTTTTAGATACGGTTTATTTATTACCTTCTTGGTTACACGAGTGTCATTACCGAGAAACGTGGTAAATTAAACTATAATGTTTCCAAAATCTTGTTTTAAAATAGTTTTCGCAGAGTCTTATATCATTTCTACAATGTGATATTGCCAATTTCAATGATTTGAAAACAAATTAATATGAGCAAGTGATTTTGAATACATTGATCTGTCTAGGAATTCATAGGCCCCTTTGTCTCTTCTACAGGTGTGCCATCCTATGCGAATCCTTCAATTACGGTAGAACCAAAAAAAACTGAATATGATCTTGGTGACAAGGTTTCGCTAGATTGCAATATTGCTGGTATTCAATTCATATATGCTTCCATATACTATAAATTTTTTTGGAAGAAGAATGGAAGAAACAAAGAAAAATGTGAAACAAAAAACTGTAAAAGAACGCTTGTTATTACCGCAGAATCTGAAGGAACCTACTTATGCTTGATAGAAAGAAAGTATGTTAATTATAAATCATACAGAAGCTTTACTTTGAAAGTCAAAGGTAATTCCATTGAAGTAAATGAAAAGCCGTTTTCTGTAATTTTGAGTTCTTATTTCTCAAAACTTCAGTGTGTATCAAAACGTATACTCTAGGAAAAATTCTCTAAAACAAGACGCGCGTGGAATAAGCAAAGACGTTTGGTTATTATGAGTAATTTAAAGTTCCCTGGTACCGCTGGTAATGAGATTTTTTAAAATGCAAGATATTTTACAAGTGAAACAACCGATAATAAAGTCTTTAAAAGACAGGCCATGCGCACGAAATATTCTCATCGTAAAAACAATTTTATCACACTGAGTAAAAACATGGCCTGTGTTTTACGAGCTTTCAGACAATTTGGGGCAAGCGCTTGCCCACAAGAGATCTTTAAAACTTCGATTTTTTTGCGTTTATGCCTTTTAAAGGGTTGTTTACTTGATCCCGGCTAACTGGGATTCAGCAAGGCCTGTAATGATTTTGAGTCATTGGAAAGAGTCAAAACTTCGAGCGTTAAACTTACAACATTTTCTTAAGCGTCATAAGTCATTTTAGTAGTAGTTAGGAACTCTAAAGTTTGTATTAAATTGCTAGAAAAGAAATATTTGGACTTAAAAATCAAGAAAACCAAGAGAAATCTCATCAGAAAACCAAGGTGTTGAGAAATCTGATTAAACACACTCACTATATAAAATTGAAAGGATGAAACGACGATTTCTTGAAGCAAATCATGCATGAGGAAGATAGATTAAATGTAGATGCATGAAATGCTAAGGACAATATAAATCACCTGCTCAACAAGCAATCCGAGTATTGAGAAAACGTCCAACCTGAATGCACCTTCTTCCAAAACTATTAGATTTATTTCAACAATATGTTGTATGGGAATAGGCTTCCGATAAAACGCTTAAAATACAACTTTTGAATTAGTACAAAGCAAACTGCTCTTAAATAGCCCAAATCACGGTGAACCCTGAAATATAGCCACAGATGAAACCACATCAAAGTTCAGCCAATCTTTCATTGATAAGCAAGGTCATTTGATATACTAAAAACAAAAAGAACTAAATGAACCATCAACTAAATCTTCTTATAAACGTGTAAATTCCGTCGCCTTAGTACACAACCCATGCTCATGCTGAGCATTATAATGCAGAAATCTAGCACCATAGGCACTTTGAACAAATTTTTCAAGACGACGGGAAATATGTGTTCTATCAAACTGACCCAACTCTATTCTAACTATGCAAAGTTTGTCTTGTAAGTGACACAAAGGGAAACAAATCCTCTTCACAGTGCCTATAGAGAAAAATCAAATAATCTAAATATACCGGAAAGTGCCCAGAGGACTATTTTAACATCGTGAAAATGGATCATATTTGTTGACGATCATTTCCTCGTGAGATGAAATAAAATTGGCGAAAATCTGTTTGTAAGATTTCATAAGACATTTTTTAATTGAGACCGTCACCACTTCGTTAGAAGAAATCTGGAACATGGAAACAGCGCTATATCACTTCAAAAATAAAGCAAATAACCTAAGAAATTTCATTTTCATGGAAGTGCAAGAGTAAAATGTCATGACGGAGAAAACAAAAAACAGTCGATGGCATAAACATTTAGCTTAGGTTTGCGGGCAATTCGAGGTTTATTCAAACTACGTTGCTTTTTTACAATTCGCTTATCGTACACTGTTAAAAATAGTCATTTAATCTCTCTTGGTCATCTACCATAATCAATTAACAATTTTGTAAAAAGTAATTGTTCTTCACATTTTTTCATGTTCTTCGCATTTTTCTCGTTTTCTTTTCATTTTTAAAGCATATCGAAAGCATTTTCAAACATTTTGAAAGCATGTTTTCTTCACATTTTTCTTCTTAACTCTAGAGCTTGCCAGACCCAAAATTTACATTGAAAACGACGCAGACGAGTTCTCACTTGGTGAAGGAAAGAATTTGACGTTTACCTACAACGTTACGTCTTATCCTGCTGCTGATATCTTTTGGTCGCGTTTGAAATATGATGGATCAAACTATCAGTTACTAACAAGATGTTTTGCGCATGAAAAACACTGCAAAAATCATGACGGACAAGAAAAAATTACACGAAACAAGTTCGAAGTAAAGTTTGTCAGATTCCCTGATGACAGTTTAACTTATCAGATAAAAGCTGGCAATGTAAAAGGAAATGAGATTAAGAAGATTTCAATAAAAAAACTAGGTCAGTCCTGTTTGATATAAAAAGAAAATAAAACTGAAATTTTAGCGTAAAAAACATTTGCATACAAACGAAAGGCAAATAAATGGCATTAGTATATTATGCGCCCTTGTGCACCAAGCAAAACTCAGATTAGAAGCTCAACTTTTAATTCAATAACGGTTTCGAAATTCCAAAGAAAAAATACCAGAAAAACATAGCTATTTAGGTTGTTTTGAAATGTATCATACTCAAAGATTAAGCTTGAGTCATGCATAATATAAAGATCAGTTTTAGTTTTTACATCTATTTTTTTCAGTTGTACCTGAAATTGACATTAAAGACACAAAAAGATTTTTAAAGAAAGGATTTTCGGTCCTAAACTGTACGTTGAAGAAGAAATTTGACCTACATGAAGTAACCTTCAAATGGTACATGTGCCAATCTGATATCTGTCATGATCATAAAAACGAGATGGAATATATTTCATCAAACTATTCTTTAACAGTAAAGAAGGAAGGCAGGTATCGCTGTACTGCCAACAATGGCGGTGAAATAGATACATCACCAATAATAACAGTTACAAAAAAATCCAAACCAACAGGTAAGCCTTTCATTATTATCGATCTTCTGTTTGTCATTGAAATTTGTGCATCGGCACATTGTCTCACTTGATCTTCATTACGATTTCGTTGCCATACATATATCAAGGCAATTGTGTTGAATTAATGCAAAATCATCAAGACTTTCATGAAAGCCTACAGTTGAACGAAAACCATTTTAACAAAAGAGTATAAGTACTGAGCAAGGTACTTTTATACAGCAGCATCAAAACCTATAATTTAAATAAAATCTTTATTGCTCGCAAACAACTGTTGATACATTTAACCACATCGTAAGTGACTTTTTATTTGTCAAGAAGAAAATGGACAGAAGAAAACAATGATGATGTTGGTCATACCTATAGGCGTCCTCACTCTTGTCATTTTGCTCATTACTTCTTATGTATTGTACAAAAGGAAGAAACTTTACGGTGGCCTTTATCTTCTTTCTTATCCTCCATTGCCTGACTACATTGAAAAGATTGATATGAATGGAGATATACACGAGCAAATACAAAGTCTTCCATTCATACCAGAATGGGAGTTTCCAAGAGAAAGAATAAAATTCAGTAAGTTATTTCTAAGCATAATTTTATCTCAAACTATGTCTGCATTTAGTAGCATGTCTTGTTTTCAATAACTAAAAGTAATAGGCGTTGTTCTCATGAGCGACAACTTTTTAAATTCATCATGTGGTATACTCACATCTTTGTTCTGTAATATTGATGTTTTATGCAGTAAATGAACTTGGGTCTGGTGAATTTGGGGTGGTTTGGCTTGCAGAAGCAGTCGGTATCTCAGCATTTCGTCCAAGGGATATCCTGAGAGAGAAAGGAAGTCGAAGAAGATTTTCATTTTTTAACAGAATGGTCAAAAGAAACAGTTACGTGTACAGCAGAGAAGTTACTAAAGTTGCTGTGAAGAAAATCAAAGGTTTCGCTGTTATAAACATTTTCATTAAGATTATTATTCATAATTTTATGTTTCATTGCATGGTTTTAATGAAAAATATAAGATTGAGCAAACACATAAAAATTAATACGTTTTTGAATACAAGCGGAAGGAATTTACTTTTTTCTAGGTAGCAATTTTATACACAATTTAAAGACTTTATGTATACGATACCCTGCCTGCAAGTTAAAACCTAGTAAAACTATTATTTGAAATATTATCAGTCTTTATAGATAGATATTTATATGGCAAGTTGGGTTTTGCAAAAAAAAGGTCGATTTTCCTTTTGATGATCGTAAGCATATATCAACATTTAAGGTTAATAACCTTGATAGCTAAGTCTCAGTTTTTAATTTAATGATTTTTATTTAGATGATGGGGATCGAAACAAACTCATTGATTTGCAGTCAGAGTTGAAAATATTGATTCATGTTGGTGAAAATGAAAACATTGTAAACATATTAGGAGCTTGTACAAAAGGTTGTTTATATTTTGAAGCGGGGTATTTGTTGAGCACTAATGACCATTCCCACTTTTGAGGCTGATTATTGAACTAAACAATAATGGGAAAAATATACGTTCATTTCCTAAATGGAGTGAAGTTACGTAATTTAAGTAAAGAATTATGATTGGAAAATGAAAAGTCATGTTCACACATGAGAAAGTTCCCTCACATAACGGCTTGAAAATATCCCAACGAATAACGATGTGACGAAAAGAACTTAGAGAGTTTTCTTTTTTGGGAAACCTACATGTATGTGCATCCACTGAGAAAGATTTTTGCATTAAATTATTTGATTATAGGTGAAAGAACAAGTTTGTGTATTATTACGGAGTTCTGTGAACACGGAAATCTTCGTCAATTTCTCCGTGACAGTCGAAACAGATACAATCAAGACAAGGAATACATGATGAACGATTTATCACTAGATTTTGGACCACAAAATCTGATTCAATGGGCGTATCATATCATACAAGGCATGGAATTCTTAATATCCAGGAAGGTATAATAATATAAACCTACACCTGGGCAAGGAGGTGTATTGTAGGTATGATAGCTTTGTATGTATATATTGTGTTAATGATGGAGTAGGAGGGACAAATAGCGATAGCTTAAAGGAAGAAAAAACATATGAGCAAAATCACGAGAGAGATTTTTGAACAAAGACGAACGTGCCAGTTTATATTTCTGGGTTCTTCAACTGTACAATTCTAAGCTTAAGATTTTCATTTGCAAGCATTAACAAACTTAAAGATAAAGGCTCAATCGAAGTCAAGTTGTCGAATACTCAATTAAAGAAAGTTTTTGTTCGTCTCTATGGGTGTTAAATAAGATTTTTGTTGCTTTGTTTGAAATTTATTTGATGTACATAACGTACTGTCTGACCGCTGAAAATAAGACAACATAAAATAACTAACAAAACAGGTTTTCACTACAGAGTTCAACTGAAAGAGTTTAGAGAATTTTATTTCAATGCACGAATTTTCAAAATAAATTTGTTTTGTTAAACCAACAGATCATTCACCGGGACCTGGCTGCTCGTAACATTCTACTTGGTACAGGTTACATAGCCAAAGTTGGAGACTTTGGCTTGGCAAGAGATATTTACAAGTATCAAGTTTACACGAAGAACACACCGGTTAGTGCTTGCATTTGAAACACTAGCTTTTTGTGAGATCATTTTGGCATTATTCTTCAGTTCATGATAACAACCCTTGATGATAGGGATTACTTCCTTTGAAGTGGATGGCAATTGAGTCAATCAAGGATTCTGTTTACACGGAGAAGTCTGATATGTATGATTTGCTTATTTAAAATATCATATATTTTCACTTTTTTAAGTTTACTAACAATTCTACATAATTGATTTAGGTGGTCGTTTGGAGTAGTTTTATTTGAGCTGTTTACCCTAGGTAAGCTTCTATAAGCACGTAAGAGAAAAATAATGACAAATAGGGAAATTGACTAATGACTGATGATGGAAACTAGTGAAATTCTTAAGGGCGATGAAAGATGAAAGAGATTATGATACTAGGAAGTATATACAAAATGAGATTTAAAGCTAAATTTTAGCTGTTTAAATGTTTGAGAAGGGCATGAGCGTGACCACCCACAAAAATCATTCTCGGTTCAAATAAGTGTTGCTTGTACAACATGATTTAAAACTTCAAATGTCTTTCAGGTGGGACACCGTATCCCGGCTTACATGTCAGTGAAGTATATGCCCATTTGCTTAACGGAAATCGAATGGAGCCACCCATCTACTGTCCTGACATCATGTAAGAGAATATTTAATACATCTTTCGTCAGTTTTTTCACAATATTTCTTAAAATATAATGAAAAAACTATGGTCCGTTCGTCAATAAAGCAATTCTTGTTGCTAAGTTTACAATTATCTGACAATTGCATTACGAGCTCAACATTTCTATGAGGTAATAGTTGATGAGGGCAAAGCCCGAATCATTTATCGCATCATAGAAATCGAGAGCGAGTACTCTAATTGTTTTAGTAGAGTCATACTGGTATTCATAAACAAAAGTAAAGGTAGTAATAGTTCTCTTTAACATTTTACGCATTTCTGTTGCTACATATTGCTTATACCAAAAAGCCAGTGACCCTTGCTCAATGCATTGTTAGTTATTTTAATTTTATTTTTTTTGTTATACCTTATCTTAGCGTTGTATTATATGGCAACTTAGTCTTCTCTAGAATTCCTTTCTCAAGTAAAACGCGAGACACCAAGGTCGGCAGCCATATTTTTCGCTACCCGCTATCTATTACTTCGCTACTCGCTATCAATTTTTCAATTGTGAGTAGCAAGACAATCAAATTAAAGTATTTGCTATAGAATACTATTATGATTTTATATATAATCAGTGTTCTAAAGAGGAGGTAATCTGACTTCAATCAGCTGGTGTGCATAAATTACTGAAAAAATAAAGTTATTTCTTCATATCAGGAAAGACAAGTATTCCAGCTATCGAATATCATGTTGTTTGTAGTGTATAGAGAGAGGGGGGTGATAAGCAAATGCGAACACGTGTAAAAATCTTGGCCTACCCCGTATTTTATTTCCAAAGAAAAACAAATTATTGACAAAAAGTGTCATAAACAAACTTTAATAATTAATACACTCATCATCCTAAAACCTATTTACACACGATTATTTGAAATGTTACAAAACTTCTGCCAATGCAGGCTGACGTCGGCGTAGCCTTGCTTGGAGTGTTTTTCTCATAACCATGCATTCGATACGTTCTCAGCAAGATTAACCAGAAGGATGGTGTAAAATTTGCTTATCAGGGATATCCAAAAGAAAAATGTCATAGGGGGTCAGCTATGGGGATCGCAGATTGTAATGTTTAGGTATAACACGATGATCAAGCAGCTCTCGCAAACGATCACGGATTGCAATTAATCAATGTGACAGAGCATTATCTTGCACCCATCAGACACTTTAGAAAGTTCATCACTTTGGTTATGAAAATGCTTGGAATCATGTCATTGTTAACAACCCATTAGGGAAACTCTAAGCATAGCCTTCAAGCAAGAGTTGATAGCAAACAATTATTCGTTATCATAAGTAACATCTTAACATCCAGCTTTTTCATTCGGTGGGTGTGGGGGTGGGAGGACTTTAAATATAGGTTGTTGTGTCCAAGTCAAGATTATTTTTCATATAAAAAACTCTTTTAAAGCATAAGCGGTTAGATTCTGATGACGATGATAAATAGAACTGAAATAAAGTGGATATGAATGTGAATCAACCTTATATATTTGCAGTGCTGATTTGATGAAGAAATGTTGGATTGAAAATCCACAACTTCGTCCAACATTTGAAGAAGCGAAAAAAATGGTAGAAAAAAATGTCCCGACAATTTCATCCAGTGAAAAAGTGAAGGTAAATTATGTGATACAACAACGAACTACATTAAAAAATGGTTGATGAAAGATAGCATTTAGTTTCTTCATGTAGCGTTCTACCATACGAATATCATAGCAAAAGCATTTTAAAATCAGCTTCATAAATTGTATTACTGAAATGAATGCTGATGAATGCTGATGGTAATCTGTTACAAATTTTGATAAGGATATGCAAATCTTATCACAACGATAAAATGTTTGAAACGTCAAAAGTTGTGCTGAGTTAAGACTGCCTGTTAGATCTGTAATCTTAATCGGGTGACAGCACGTGTCCAGGCGGGCGGTTGTTTATCGATAAGTTGTAGTTTTAGTTTGCACACGGAACCTTTACAACTTTTTGATCACCAACATTTAATTTATCAAAAACGAGTGCTAAGTCCGTGTGTGATGATAACGAACCACAGCCCGATGAAAAGAGCCTGATAGTAACTAGATCAGCTCCTGCGCTTAGCGTGAAGTCTCGGTAGAGTATGACTGGGCTAGAAAGGGATAAACTACACCTGCGATCGGAGCAACTAAAACAGAAGCAGTTGTTAGTGCGAGAGGCTCGTATCGTTGAGCTAGAAATTGCCAAAATAATTTGAGTTGGAAGAGAAACAAGTGTTGTCAGAGCTTGCCGAAAGAAAAGAGCTGTTGGACATGGAAGCTAGGCTAACGGAGGCTGAAATTGACGAGCGTTTCGAAACTGACAGCGAGAAATGTTCGGAAGCAGGTTTTAATGAGATGCGTGAAGCAGAAGTACGCGAATTTCGAAGTGAAGGATAACGTGAAGGAAATAATTTCAAATATTACGATCGGTTATGCAAAGTCATGGTCGAGCTAAGAGAGCTTATGAATCGTTGTTTTGTGAAGTAATAAGTCGCAGTGAATTGCTTGAAAGAATAAGATGTCGATATGGGAAGCAACACAACATCTACGTTTCATCATCAAGTAATTCATGTACTGATAGTCAACGTAGCAATCTACGAGTTATGTCACATAATCCAAATTATGATGACTACATAACCCAAAAAGATTAGTATGAATATCAAGAAGAGGCGAGTTGTACTAATTCAAACATTAACCAGCAAGGTTTCTTAGGAACCCAATACAAATTACCCTTCCCAACCATGCGAGTCAACCTGTCACTAAAGGTGAGCGGTCGTCAGCACAAGCTGAAACATACCAAATTCCAACATTCCAAGACCATCAGAATCCAAATCTGCAGATGCTCAGACTGGTCATTGCAGAAAGACCAATAACATTAACATTCCAAACTTGGAGGGTCCTGAAGTAACGATACTTATCGGGACAGACGGAAGTAACTGGAAACTGGAAGAAACTAGAGGTTGGGAATCATATGAGATAAGAACACCTTTAGGCTGGTCGGTTGCTGGACCAATGAAGCGAATTACTCGTAATGAATGTAGTAGTTTCTGTGTTTGGACCGGTGACAAATATAAGATAAAAAAGGTTAATCAGATGTGCAATTTTCACTTCAGCCAATCACTATATGATGAAGAGCAAGCAATGTCTCAAGAAGATATAAAATCATACCAGATGATGGTCAATTCAGTTAAAGTTGTGAAGAATCACTCTCAACTCGATTTAACTTTTCGAGAGAGAACGCCTTTTCTAGATAATCGACCTATGGTCAAACGGAGAATGACGTCTCTCAAATTGTGCTTTAGAAAGGATAAGGGGCTACACAAAAAATACACATCAGGAATTAGCAAAAACTCAATTAAAGGTTATGCAGCCAAAGTTCCGGCTACGGTTAAAGATTATATCTCGATTGGAGTCAACCGCTGCTGTAGTTGTTGCCAGACAACATCGAAAAATCCAAGAAGAGCTCGGCATAGATATTCATAAGGTCATATTTTTGACAGATTCAACATACGTCCTTCAATACATCAAGAATGAAGCCAGCCGTTTTAAGAGTTTCATGGCTAATACGATCGGGACTATCCATGAGATATTAAGCTCTTCACAATGACATTACCTGACTAGCGAGGTAAACCCAGCAGATTATGCATCAGGATGTCTCAGTCCCAGTGAAGATGTAAAGGTCAAGCACTGGATACATGGACCAAGATTTCTTTATGAGAACGAAATAAGATGACCTGAGTCGTCAAAATCCACTTCTAAACACCAAGAGCAATTGAAGTGGAAGAGATCGGCCGAACTATTCGAAGCCATTTTAAGCAAGGCTCAACCATTAGATTAGTTCATTCAGCACTTCTTGTAGTGGAATCGTCTTTTGTTTTGTACAGCATGGCTAATTCGCTTCATGCACTACCAACGATTTCTTGTTTTTAAAAAAAGTGATAAAAGAAGATCTCACCCATTCCGGTGGTTTAGTTAATGGGGCCGGAGCTGCACGTCTTACTGTCGTAGAAATGGAGCAGGCTAAAGTAATCCTCTTGCGACATGTCCAACCACAGTATTTTCCACTGGAAGTGAAGAATTTCCAATGTTCGTCTAGAGTTATCTTAATCGCGTTGCTGCTCTTCGAAGGAAATGATAGCTTCTTGAGAGTTGGTGGTAGATCAGAAAAATCGGATCTTCACTTCAACGCAAAGCTCACCCTATCATCGTTTGGAAGAAACATGGTATTGTGGACTGCACTATCAAACATGTCCATGAGAAAAACAGGCACATGGGGGTTCGAGTTGTTGTCGCTGCAGTTCAAAAAAATTTAGGATAATCAAAGGCAGTTTGAGGACTCGTTGGATTGTCTTCTTAAGTTTCCATTGCCGCACACATTACTCTCGATAGAAGATCTTCCTCTAGCACGTCTCGTGGATTCTGAGTACAAAATTTTCAGCGTCGGCAGTGCGATTATCCGTCTAGAAATAAGAGCTGTTCACATAAAAGTTTCAAATACCCTACACTGAGTCGTTCCTTTGTTCCTTTACTCGATTTACCGCACGAAGAGTTTCTTCAAAAGACATACATAACGACGACAGGACTACTTTTGTTGGATGAAATGCAATCTTAAAAGAGGAGTTTGAGAAATTAAGATGTGAAGAGTCACAAAAGAAGATTTGTAAGCGGTTGTTGCAGGAGAAGACGACCAGGCACTTTAATCCGCCAATAGCAAGTCACACAGGTGGAGTTTTGGGACAATATGATATTATCAATCCGTAAGATTCTGACGACGTTAGTCAGTGAGCAGACAATTGACAACGGCACTTTAAGAACGTTCCTAACTGAAGTAGAAAGAATTCTCCACGATCGACCTCTTCTTCTCTATTGTGGCACAGGCCTTGATGAGTCAGATGCTTTGAAGCCTAGCAAGCTGTTGCTGTTGTGTTCCAATATGCGTGCCGCACCTAAAGTGTTTGTGGATGGCGATCATTACAGCCGGCTTTAGAGACAAGTACAGCTGTTAGCTAATGCACTTTGGAAGCGTTGGATTGCTGAGTACATTCCGATACTCCATAAGACGGAGGTGACTGAAGCAAGTAGGTAACTTAAAACTCAATGATCTCGTCCTCATGGTAGATAAAGATTATTCACTAGCATGTTGGCCGATGGCTATAGTGACAGAGGTGAACCCAGATGAAAATAAAATAGTACGACGAGTAACGTTACGAACCATAAATGCAACCTATCGTAGAAGTATTCACCAACTATGTCTCTTGGAGGAAGGCGAAAAATTCGGGGGTGAAATGTAAAGATGTTTGTCTTATCGAGTTTTGTTAGTGCTATAAGTACAGATATTTATGGTAACGATCTTATTCGATTGGGGCCTATGTTAGATCTGTTGCCTCAATCGGGTGGCCGCCCGTGTCCAGACGCTTTTTAAGTGTGGGTAATGTCATCAATTTGGCAAATTACTTCAGTTTGCGTGTTTAGTACATAACTACCACGAAGATCATTTATGGAATGCAAAAAATGGTTGCTTTGTAGGACGAGAGATGGCAAGATGATTTAGGGGAAACAACTTGTGTTTTCCCCATGGTAGACGCTACTTTCAATATCATTAATGAAAGAAACACAATGAAACGCTTGCGCTGATTGGTGCATAGCTGAGTTTGCAATGACCTGTGCAAACCGATATGAGCTTGATCAAACAAATTAATTAAATAATTAATCGAATAAATGTTAAAGGAAAAATAAAACATTTGTTTTAAATTATCTGTTTCGCATTTTGCTATTTTATGAAAGAAATAGAAGATGTCGTTTTGTCTTTCCATTGGCTCATGCAAACCTTGCACTGATCTCCTCTCGCGTTCTCTAAAACGTCTCCTAGATTTGAATGAGCCAACGCAGACACAGTAAACATCATTTACTTCTTAAATGCTTAAAAAAATAATTATTTCTTTATGATTCTAGGATTTGGAAAATTATGAACAAAATCAGAACATATCGACAAAAATGTCGCAGTCAGAAGCAGAAATTAAATTACTCAAGGAAAGAAAAATGGAAGAGATTCCAATGGCTTAACCAATGGCTTAAATCCTTTTTTGACTTCACATTCATAAAGATTGAAGTTGAGAAAAATATCGTTAGATCGATGACAAATTGACTTATATAGACGAAGTCTTAGCAATATAGCCTAGATACATTACAATTGTATTGAACAAAAAAGAATGAGCATATTTTAACGCTAGTGTGATGGCTACACTTGTTAAATAAGAAGATATATTTGAAATCAAGTCTTTATCCAAGCACTTTTTTGCTTTTTCATTGGAAAACTTTTGCAGAAATGTAGAAGCTTTATTTAAATTGTTGTGTACTTTTTGATTAGAACCAAGGGCAGAAGAATGTAGGGCTAAGGGGCTGCTCACCAATAATTAAAATGGGGGTGCTAAGCCCCCCCCCCACAAATATTCCATTGTAACAAAGAGCTTTTCAATATTCTTCCCAAAACAAGTCCTTGTTTGACAGGGGGAATACATATTAGATTCTCTCATACTGCCTTTCTCATAGAGAATGAAGTATTTAATGGACAGTGTTTAATTTTCCTGAATCTCTGACTAATATTTTGCTCAAGGGATAAGAATGACACCCCCTCCAAGACTTTTCTTCTACTACCAAACATCTTCTACTGCCAATGTCTAGAACACACTGTTATGATAACATATAAAGATGGTCAATAACCAAGTTGTAATACCAAGTTGTAAATATTCTGCTAATTATAACATGTTGCAATGAAAAGTAAAGCCTCAATTACATAAGAGAAGCTTTCAAAAGACAATATTCTGGTTTCTATGGAGGGCACTTTAAATTTTTTCAAATATATTACAATTGAAAATATGATAACAAAAATTCTATACATCCAAAATAGTATTTAAATGTTTACTTTACTGAAACTAAAATGACAGCACAATATATTCATAACACAAAGAATAAGTCCACTGAACTTCAGTGACTGGACATCAAACAATCCCATTTATGAAATCAAAGACTTCAGTGACAGTAAACAATTTCCCCATTTGCTTCACACGGAAGACCATTTAGAAAATGCAATTATGCATTTCAACCCATGTATACTTTTAGACAAACACGTTATGCATGTTTCTATGTATAGAGTATTTTTGTGTGTTGTTTGATTTTAGTATTTTATTGAAATGTATTTACAACTGAAATACCAGCAGCTAGGGCCAGAATATGACACTGTATCTACTTCATTTACCAGACACAATCTTAAGTTCAAAGCAGTTTTGGGTAAAACAAACATGATAGAAACTTGAAATTAGTGTCAAATCCTAAATCTGGCAGAAAAGCTCTTAAATTTAGATCTCACGATAAAGCATTTGGGTTGAATATAAGTTTTTTAATATTTAATATTGTGCGCTTTTAAGATCGACGCCTAAGGACAAAATGGTAATTAATGATTATGAAATAACGCGCGAATTTCGAAGATGTCAGATTAGTCACGTGAGGCCGTGAGATTACATGAAGGAGGTATTTTGGTATTAATTTTCTCGAAGCGTTTTTCTCTTTGCTCCAATGAAATGTAAAATAATATTCAAACCTGTATTAAGCGGTCCTGCATTAAGTGGACACCCTGTATCAAACGGACACTTTAGGCCGAAGACCATTGTGCTCAAAAACATTACTTTCCCTGCACACCTCTCAAAACTAAAATTCCCTGCACACCTCATAGTGTTATAGAGAATAATGAAGTAATCAATGGTTCTCAAACCACTAACACACCAGTGTGGATACCACTAACCACAATTATGAAAATGGATGAAATGCTTTTCTTGATAGCATATAAAACATCCCAATATAAAAATGCTCGACGGCGTCTCATTCCCCATACTTCGCCAGTTGATAGCACTTCCCACCTTTCGAGGGAGCTTTAGTATTCATAAGCGAAAATTTAGTATTCAGGTTTTAAGCGAAATATAGAGTGCAGCATTTACAAAAACTAAGCTATAAAATGATATATGACAAAACTGTTTACTGTTTCTTACAATGTTTTCCACGTAAAATTTATCAAAAGAATAAAAAAATGTGTATCAATAAAAATATAACACACATCATAATGATCATAAAGTTAAAATTTGTATTGTCGTTTTATAAAATATTACTGCGTTAAGATTTTCTTTAATGTTTGTCGACATATTCATTTCACTACACACATATTCAAAGCTTGCTTTTCATCTCCAACAAAATTGTAAAACGAAAGTTTTTCTTTTATTTTACGTATAATTTTACACATTAATGAATGCCAGTTCCAATGTTGAAAAGTGCACACGCGCGGTGACGTTAGAGTGTCGTGTCCAAAAGGTGCAGTGATGACATCAAATAATATCTATATGCCATATGTTTTTAAAGATAAACTTTAAGTGGAATTCAAAAAGGCATTATTTCAAAGTGGGATATTAATTGTCATTGTTTGGTTGCATAGGAGGCATACAGCACGCAAAAATAAAGGAAGTGTCGAAAAAAAGCTCTAGGTTTTTGGATTGCTGTTGCGGTAGATCAGGTAGACTTAAGTTCGACATGAAAGTAACTTGACATGTTGTTTAAACTTCGTATAACACATGATTAAAGAGGAGCTATAAGCTATCAGACTGTTTTATTTTATTTTTTACTCATAAAAGATCAGTTGATTTTTTATGCTTTAGCAAATTTTTTGTAGTTGTACCTAAAAAGGGTTTTAACAAATGAATACAAGATAAAACTTGGAAACAGAACAATATTGACCATATTTTTCAATACCTGTCCTTGTCCATGAGAAAACTGTATTGAATGAGTCAATACATTTAGACAGGGGCTAGGTATAGTAAAGTAGAGTTGACACATGAACTTTTTCTTTTACGGTTGTTGCTGTGAATTTTTTTTCATAAATTGTTTTAATATCAAATTTAACATGACTTTCTCCTTGATTTTTCGATTTAGATTGTTTCTCTTTCATCGGTCTTGTTATTTTATTGTAAGAGCATTTTCTCGACTAAGAAATATTTAATGTAATTTATAAACATATCACAGCTTGTCTACATAACGCATGATTTTTTGTTTGTGAGCATAATCCACCTGATGTGTGTTTGACAACTAATTATTTTAAATGTTCTTTTTAAAAAATCTAATTCCTTTTCCTCCAATATTTTTCGCTATAAAAGCTTTTGTTTTCATTTTGAACTCAATGTTGAGTTGAAGTATTTTGGAACTGGCTTAAAACTTAACATTCGCATCAGTAAACGCCAGATATAATCGATTAACTGTGCATAATTTTACAATCGTTCATATTTTAGTATTTCTCCAAAGTACTTTACGTTTATACAGCTGTGCATAGTGTAAACATCCATTTCAAAGTCTTCGAAAATAATGAAAGTATACGTCACACTGTGGCCACTTAAAAATACCCAAAATGTTAAATATAATGTAAAACATATTCAGTTGAAAGACGTCAGAATACAAAGTTTAGTGACTACATCAATTAAGTTTAATTTTGTCATGACGGTTTGAATAGCCATACTGTGTCTCATACAACGAGGCTTGTTCAAAGAAAACATAAATCTAAAGCAGTTGAAAAGTCGAACTACTGTGTAGTGTGGTTTAGGAGCTTTAATTGCTTTCTTGGACAAGTTAACGAAAAGTTAGACATAGCGCAATGTTTTCTGTTACCTTATAATAATAGCTTCGTCTTCGGTGATGTAGGTAAAACATTAATTGGAGGGGCGGGAGGTATATTCAAATATTCAAATATTCATTTGCACACGATTGAGTTTTCTTGAAAGTGACTCTGCTTTTAAAACACAACTCAATTTTTGAAGCTTTTCAGCTCCATTAATTTCATGACAGTATGATTCACATTACCAAAATGATAGAAAAATTTTGCATAAACACGTTAATTTTTTTGAAATATGGTGTTTTAATCTGTTAAATGAAACACATTATTATTTCATAAGCAAATCCATTGATCAATGAGAAAACAGGAAAGTGCACATTGGTTTTTCGAAAAGTCTTGCATACTGTAATTATTAGATTTGCTATTAGTCCAATATATTTTTATAGGAATTTTCTGTGAATAAAACAGGTTAAGAACATCGATAAAGGCATACAGGAGGAAAATATTTTTGGTGATCATGTCTGGTAGCGTTGCCAAACAGGGTTGCGTAACTTTTTACCCCTTTGAGAATTACATAATGCATTGTTCTAGAGAATTTCAAAAGTTAGATAACTTTTTGCAAAGTAATTTCAAGGAGATAATTATTATTTTTGCATGAATTTTCCCAAAATTGATAACTAAAGTTTTTCACTTAAAAGACTTATCTTAGTGACACGATTTATTTGTGAATAATTATTTGCTCTCACACATTAGTGAAACATGTTTTTAATCACTGCCTTATGATTAAATTTTTTTTCATTTTTTATTTTTTTCAATGTTGGTGGGTATCATATTTCTAAAGAACCTGAAAGTTCTTTCTTGATGTTGTATTTTGTGTTGGTTGACAGTCGTGTGAGTACATCCAATATTTCAAGTTGTCTTAAAAAAAGGAAGGGTGAGTAATAATCCAGAATTCTTTAAGGGTTTTTGATCATTTGCCAAAAAATAATCAATGAAATAACATTTCTAAAGAAAATTAATGATGAAGTTAAATCTTAGTCTTTGTTGTAACTTATCGAGAATTTCTTTTTGCTATTATGCAGTATAACAGCAGAATATTTTCATCGACAAGATGCTTGATGTCCTTTTGAGTTCCTCCAACTAGCATGCACTTGGCAAATACTGAGATTTTCATTTAAGTTAGCTGCTAAAGTGGTTAACTTTAAAAAAATCAAATCACACCAAAACATAATTATAAAAAAACGATTCAGTGGCATCGTCAGGTCTTCAGACACAAAGGGGAAGTATGTAAAGGCTAAACGTGTAAAAGCACGAGCGTTGTTAGGGGGAATACACGTTTAAAATTTCTTATCCTTAAAATGCTATTTTGTAGATAAAGTTTTAAGCAAGTTTTCTGAAAATTTAAAAGCCCAACATCAATGATTACTGTTACGAAAAAAAGTTTTCATAGGGAAAAATTCTACTCTAGGCTAATCTAAATGTGTCGACAAGGTTATAAAAAAGTTTTATCCGCAATATATCTGTTTTTAGTATTTCCTTTGATATGTTCCCATTTCTTGGAAACAACTACGTGCTTAGCTGTTTAGAATTTGCATAATTGTACACCCACCCACCCCCACTCCTCAAAAAATTTTGCTTTTAATTGAAAATTCTTAAATTTGCTATAAGAATTACTGGGCAAACACATTCTCCCAGTTTCCTTCACGGCAATAACATACACTGAAGCAATCAATTCAACAGACAATAATTAGCCAAAAAGATCTTAGCATGTATATCATGATGTATGATATGGAAACAGACCTTATGACTTTCGCAGTTTTTACACAACTAATCAACTAATCAATAAGCCTGTGACCCAAGCAATAACCATAAATGTACTATTTCTACACATATCACTACAACCATATTTATCAATTGTTCAAACTGTCCTATATATATATATATATATATATATATATATATATATATATATAAGTTTGAAAATTTGTAATCCAGGAATTTAATACATAAAAGATAAGTTTCTCCGGATTTTAGTGATTTTATTGAGCTTTCGACTCGTTTCTTTCTAGCCTTCATCAGAATGAGGATGTTTATTTGTTTTTATTTTTATATATATATATATATATATATATATATATATATATATATATATATGTAGTGGTGTTGAGA